ACCTGCCAAAAATAAATTTGAAGTTGACAAATATGAAGAGTTTGGCATTGTTTTCCTTTGTAGCACAAAAATTCCCTGAGTCCACATCCATTTTCTTTGCTCAGTAATGACTGTTTCACCTGCTTTGCATTGGGAAGATGGGTGCAATTTTGGTATTTGCCTTATTTCACCCCAGCTTCTCTAAACAATACCTGGTTAATTCTACTGTGAAACAATTTTGAAAGTTCTAGAAAGTCTTCTAAAAGGCAAACATTAGTGGAAATGTCTACTAAGGAGACTATTTTCCCCTCTTTCTTCAGCAGTGGAAGATCTCCCAATGGGCCCTAGTCAAACAATGAAGTCAATAAATGTCTCCCAAATGAGTTCAATGTGGGTTGGATCAGGCCTATGTGAAACTAAGGGATTGCCTCATTTCAGTAGTTACCAACAGGTCCTGCACTTTAACTGAACCACACACCAAAGATTAACACTGAAAAAATGAAAGTTATCATACAGGTAAGATAAATATCTTCTTTCTTTTCTGATCACACCCACCAGAGCCATTTTCTTTATCTGCAAACATTAATTCAAACAAACCAGCTCCACAAACCAGATCCGCAGGGAGGCCCTGGAATCACAGTTCATCCATAAATTCAATGCACATGCTAATGGATTTAATCGTGATATGGGTTTGTTGGGACACTATCTACTTAATAACCACTGAAGGTGCTAACAGCTCTCTGAGTGGTATCCTTCCTATCTTGGGAATCTACTGACTTTGATTTTTATCTGCTTAGGTTTAAGTACTCATTCTCCAGATACTTAATGATGCTGTCTCCCACCCTCCTCCCTTTTTCTTTGTCTTCCTCTCTCCTATTTATTTTGAGTTTTCATATCCCAAACTCATAACTCCGGTCATCTGAAGAAGTGGACTGTGCCCACGAAAGCTCATGATACCATCTACATGTTTTGTTAGTCTATAAAGTGCTACCAGACCATTTGTTGTTTTTTTTCAGTAACAGACTAACTCGGCTACCCCCTGAAGCTCATAAGGCATACAGTTTCCCACACAGTCCCACTATGCTTTCTTTGCCTAGCGTAACAAAAAACAGGACTACGTCACACTTTAAAGACAAAAAAGATGGTTTAAAGTGTTACACAGTCCTGTTTTTTGTTTCAGCTAGACTAGACTAACACGGCTACATCTCTATTACTATTATTTGCCTAGCGTCATACTCTTCTTTCTTGAAAAACTCCTTCTACATTAAAACTCCCTTGGACTCACAGACATGTACTGAGTCCACTAGCAGCCATCTATTTTGTACTTCGTTACTGATATACTGTGTCCATTAACCAATCATAGGACCTCAGTTACTCCCTTTTGTAAAGAATGATTTAGTAGATTATTTTACCACCAGAACAACTGAAAGTTTTATAAACATTCAAACCTCACCCATTTTGATAACTCCCTGTGAAGTTATTTGATGGTTTACTCTATTCCCTAAAACTGGGTTTGGGGGGAGGGGGAATTAAAATTCTCTAAATCCTATTTTACATTTCAGTGCTTCCATACATATTAGAAGACCATTTTTTACTTTTTCAGCAGACTCATTAAAGCCTTGCTCCAACTCCCCAAGTTGTCAAAAAATTAGGGTTTTTATTCTTCACTGCCTGTTTACTAGTTCAGAGGAAGAAGAGGTGACAGGAAAGATTAGGGGAACTTGAAAATCACAGAAAGACCCTCTCAGAGGGTTTTGAGAAGACATGTTGGAAATGAAGGGAGGCAAAGGAAAAGCGTGTGGGGCAGCAGTCCACATTTTCAATTCAATTGTTTCATTTTAGTCTTTATGTTTGAACAATAATCTATACCCTAAGACAGGGGTCTCCAAACTGCGGCCCGGGGGCCGGATGCGGCCCGCGAGGGCCTCTCATCCGGCCCGTGGAGACCTTTTTGGATTCAAAGGCAGAAGAAGTGAGATTGTTTCAAAACCCATTTGAAGCAGATGTGGCCAGTTGCCCAGATGAACTGCAGCTGGAAGTCATTGAGTTGCAAGCAAATGACCTCCTTAGGGACAAGTTCAAAATAGGACTGGTGGGTTTTTACCAGTTTTTGCCCAAGGAAGACTTTCCTAATGTCAAAACTTTTGCATCAAGGTACCTTTCAATCTTTGGAACAACATACCTGTGTGAACAAACATTTTCAAGAATGAAATACGTGAAGAACAATTTGAGAACAAACTTGTCCGATGATAATCTCAGGTCACTGTTGATGTTAGGGACAACAAATCTAAAGCCAGAAATGTCTGCTATTTTGGCATCCAGGAAACAATTTCACCATTCACACTAATACAGGTGTTCATGTGTAGTGTATGAATGTGTTATTAAATAATAACTGAATAAAATAATATTAAATAAATAATTAAAAACAACATCCATGTTTTGATTGTTTTTTATTTGGACCTCAAGTGTGTAGTCGGCCCCCGAACTGCTGTTTGATAGTTAATGCGGCCCTCGGGCAGAAAAGTTTGGAGACCCCTGCTTTAGAGCAAGACTGGAGAACCTGTAGGCCTTACACCGTTTGTCAGGGTAAGTCACTGGCAGCCCACCATATGGTTTATTTACCTGAACATCTACAGGCATTGAGTCCTTAGGCTCCCACTGGCCATGGTTCACTGTTCTCAGACAGCGAGAGCTGCGGCAAACAGTTGCCCAGCCCATGCCACTTCCCACAGCTCCCATTGGTTGGGAAAGGTGAACCGCAGCCCCTGGAGTTGCGAAGCTCTGGGTCTATGGACACTCAGGTAAACAAACTGTCAGGTTGTCTGCCAGAGGTTAACCGTTCAAGGCCAGCATGCTGGAGGTTCCCCACCCCGCTCTAAGGTTTTGTCTACGTTGCCACTTTTTTCAGGATAGCTTATGTCACTTAAGGGTATGAAAATAATACTGCTCTGAGTTACACCAACAGACATGCTGGTGTGGACAGCACTGTTGGTGGGAGAGCTTCTCAAGTAACCTAGCTACTGCCACTCATTGGAGGTGGTTTTATTATGTTAACGTAGAGCGCTCTCCCATCAGCATAGAGCAGCTACACAGGAGACTTTACAGTAGTGCAGATTATTGGGATAAATGTGCCACTGTAAGCACTCTAATGGAGAAATGGAGTTGCATTAGGTCCTAAGAGATAGCGCCTCACAGAAAGGAAGCGATTTCTCCCCCAACCTCTGGATTTTTTGTAGCTTCTGTAATCAATCATCGCTATTGACACAGCTGGTCTTACAGTTTGTACTCTACAGATCTCAATCTTGCTTCCATTGAAACAATGGTAAAACTAATATTAAATTCAGTGGGAGCCAAATCATGCACCACCACATAAATCTCCTGGTAACTAGTTTCATTGTTGAACAGTTGATGGGGTCGCCTATCCAAATGCAATGCTGCAGGACCAGATCATCCGCAGGAGGGACGGAACCTTAAAGGCACACATTTTAGCCCCTACCCCATGAGCTAAAAGCCAGCTGGAACTAAGCTAAGGCTGTAGAGCAGATTTCACTCTCCCTTGTCATTGGCCGCAGAGCCTCTATTACATAAACAAGCTCTGCACTTTGTGTACTGCACTTAAAGAATTGTCCCTAAGAGGTCACTTGCCTTGACTGTGCTTAAGACTGGAACTGGCTACTGCCCAGATACACAATTCCTTCCAAAATAAACACCAATGATACTACTCAAGGTAATGAACTATCAGCACAGCAGAGAGTGGCCAGGACTATTCATACCTCAGAGTGTCCTTAACTTCCCAATAGGCTGCTTTTCCATTTGTATGGATCTTCAATGTGAGATTTGCAATGGGAAGTCTTGGATCTCAGTGCAACAGAGAGAGGACACTAGGCCAGCACAAAATATATTTGAATGCTGCTAGTTGTGAAGCAAGATAACCAGGAATGGTGCAGGGACACATTCTTGGTCAACAAACTTCTCCACAAACTACCTAAACCAAGTTTAGTGTTTGTGTCAATGCAAAAAGCTGCTCAACTGACTTATTCATCCCCTCCTTCCCCCCTCCCCAGCAGTCATTTTCAAAGAGTACAGAAGTCTCGCTTTCATCAAATCCCCCCAATATGGGTATTCACAATATATCCAGTCACCAGCAATCATCACCAGGATTTAGAATAATAGTGTATCATTTAATCCTTTCAATTCAGGGAAATTAAATATGTGGTACAGCTGTAAACACCAACTGGGGGTAGTAGAGGAGTCTGAGATACTGGAAATCAGCTGAGGTACAAAAGCAGGGAAGAACTACTGTAGTCTCCTTCATTCCACCTTCCCAGCCCAGCCCCCGGTGCCAATGTATACACAGAGGATGGAAATTTTTTAGAGCTGAGAGTGCTCAATGACAAATGCTGGCATTGTGCTCAGCGCTGCTCAGGCCTGGGAAGGGAGGTGTTAAATCCTAGTTCCCCATCCTCTCCAGCAACACAACCAGAGATAGCCACATAACAGCTGTCTCACCCCCACACGGGCATGCACCAATTTTGAATCAGCCAAAATGTCTACGATTTAAGGTTTGCAAGAACTCCTTCCCCGGGCCTAAGGGGCAGCCCGGAGAGAAGCAGAACCCCCAAGGTTATTTTGCAAAAGACGGGGCTCGCTTCAGGAAGGCAGAAAACAGCCTGCCCCGGCAGAGGCTTCAGATGAGAGACCTACTCAACTCGACGCATGTACCAGCCGCCCCTAGCAGGGACAGCAACCCTCCCCCGCCAGACGGGCATGCCTGGGGCAGGAATGGTGTCACAAGCGACACTGCCAGCCCCCAGGCCCTCGCCCTCAGGCAGAGGAAGAGGAAGCCCAAATGGGGGGTGCACTACCCTGGATACTAACGCGCTGGGGTGCTCCGCTGCCCCCGCGCGCCCCAGGGAACACCCCTCCCCGCTCCAGGGGACACCCCGGCTGTGGCGCGGAGAAGCCCCCAGAGGGGCAGGGGCACGGGCCGGGGCAGGGGGCGGGGAGGCTGCCGTACTCACTCGGCGTATCCCGTGGTCCAGGGCAGGCGCTTGGTGTCCTTGCTGAGGATGAGGATGGGCCGGGCGATGTGGTCGGCGGAGCATTCGACCTCGTCCGCCGACAGCCCCAGGAACTCGGGTCTCCCGTAGGGGAAGCGGAGGGGCAGGTCCGAGCCGCCGCCGTGCTCCGCGCCCGAGCCGCCAGCCATGATGCCGCCCATGAAATTGGCCACGGCGGACTTCACGCGAGTGAGCATGTTACTCCTGCCCGCGCCGGCCCCGGCCGCCCCCGCAGCACCATCCAGCGCCGGGAGCCGGGCGCGCCACGGGCCAGCTCAGCCCAGCCCCGCCGCCGCTCAGGCTGCCCCCGCTGCACTTCCGCAATGGAGGCGCTGCATGGAGCGGGCGGCCAGGAAATCCCCCCGCAGGGACGAGGCAGGAGCGGCGGCGGCGGCTGCGGAGCTCCGGCTGCAGCAGCTGGTCCCCCTCCCCGTGCGCCGAGCGCTGAACTAAGCCCAGGGGGAGCGGCGGCGGCTCGGCTGAGTCATGTGACCAGCAGGGAGGATTTACCCGGGCAGCTTCCTGCTTCTCCTGCTGCAAAAAAAACCTGCCACAGGCTGGGCAGGGGGCTGGGGGGACAGCTCCCCCTTCCCCGCCTCCCGCGCCCCGGCCGCAGCAACGCTTGGCCGTGCCGTGGGGAATGTTCCCGGGGGAAGGGGTGGTTAGGAGCCGTGGGCGGGTCAGGCTGAGCAGGCAGCTGGCAACCCATCAAACAGGTGTACCTGCTCCCCCCGCTCCGCCTGGAGAGGGTCTGCCTTTCCCAGCGGTGCCGTGCCCTGCTCCCACCAGTAATCCCACTCGAGTCAACATGAATGGAACGGTGTGAGTGGAGTTCCCTGTAAGTAAATAAAGAGCCCTGCAATTAGAGACTGCATGGTGGAAACGGAAATTCTGAGGCCGTTAGCTTTGATGGACATTAAAAAGAAAAAAAAAAGTCTTCCTTAACATAGCAAAAAACAAAATACAGGACTATGTAGCACTTTAAAGACTAACAAGATGGTTTATTAGATGATGAGCTTTCGTGGGCCAGACCCACTTCCTCAGATCAAATAGTGGAAGAAAATAGTCACAACCATATATACCAAAGGATACAATTAAAAAAAAGAACACATATGAAAAGGACAAATCAAATTTCAGAACAGGAGGGGGATGCGGTGGGGGGGAGGGGGAAGGAAGGTAAGTGTCTGTGAATTGATGATATTAGAGGTAGGGAGAGTGGGATGTTTGTGAGTTAATGGTATTAGAGGTGATAATTGGGGAAACTATCTTGGTAATGGGTGAGATAACAAACATTTGAACTAAGTCCTTGTTGGAAAGTGTCGAATTTTAACATGAATGACAGTTCAGAGGATTCCCTTTCAAGTGCAGATGTAAAAGGTCTTTGTAGCAGAATGCAGGTGGTTAAGTCATTGAGAGAGTGTCCTTTCTGGTTAAAATGGCAAGAAACTGTTTTCTCTTTGTGATCTTGTCTGATATCTGTTTTGTGGGCATTAATCCTTTGGCGAAGTGTCTGAGATGTTTGTCCAATGTACATAGCAGACGGACACTTTCGGCACACGATAGCATAGATTATATTTCTGGATGCGCAGGAATATGTGTTCTTGATCTTATAACTCACTTGGTTGGGTCCAATAATGGTATCAGCAGAATGAATATGTGGACAAAGCTGGCAACGGGGTTTGTTGCAAGGGAAGGTACCAGGGTTGGTATTAGTGTGGTATGTCCTGTGGTGGTTGGTAAGAATCATCTTGAGGTTAGGTGGTTGTCTATAGGAGACTATGGGTCTGTCTCCCAGAGCCTCTTTGAGTATGGTATCCTGTTCCAATATAGGCTGTAGTTTATTGATAATGTGTTGGACAGGAGTGAGTCTGGATGCTCTCTTTCGAAGAAGCCCTATTTACATTGAAGAACGCCTTCTTTTGAAAGAGGAACTTTCGAAAGAAGGCGTTCTTCCTCGTAAATTGATGTTTACCGCCATCGAAAGAAAAGCTGCGTTCTTTCGAATTAATTTCGAAAGAACGCGGCTTGAGTCTGGACGCAGGGGAAGTTTTTTCGAAAAAAGGCTACTTTTTTCGAAAAAACCCCTGAGTCTGGACACAGCCTAGGAGACTATGGGTCTGTCTCCCAGAGCTTCTTGGAGTTTAGTGTCCTGTTCCAGTATAGGTTGTAATCTATTGATAATGTGTTGGACAGGTTTAAGTTGGGAGCTGTAGGTGATGACAAGTGGTGTTCTATTGTTGGTTTTCTTGGGTCTGTCTTGTAGTAGATGGTTTCTAGGTATTCGTTTGGCTCTTTCAATTTGCTTTTTTATTTCTCCAGGTGGGTAGTTGAGGTTTATAAATGCTTGGTAGAGATCCTGAAGTTTCTGGTCATAGCAAAACTGTGCTTTCATTTAAGATATGAATCCCACTTTCCCTCTATCATTACATTATCTAACTCTGGATTCAACTTTACAGTCTATGCAGTGCAGCCAGGGTTGTGGAACATTTCTTTTTTTTTAATCCTGTGACATTGAAATCGGGTAAATCTAAAAGTCAAAGTTAGGAAGCACAGAACTATCCTGACAAAAGGGATACTTTAAAAAAAAGCCTTCAAAGGGTATATTTTAAAAGAATGTCTATATGCAGCATTGAAATGTAATTCTATGGATTGTTAGATGTCAAGGACAGATCAGAAATGCTACTGTTTATTGGTTTGCACCATAAAAACTGAGTTGTTAAAACACATGGCTCATATATAGCCTGCACAATGTAATATTACCTATATTTGTATAAGAAATAGGATTATATGGTGATAAAGTTCTTCCTCTTTCCTTTATAAAGTTCACCACCACACCTTTTCCTGTAAAAAAAAATAGCTGTACAAAGAAAGTCATAAACTAGTCATTAACTTAGGTCCCAATCCTTCAAAACACTTATATATGTGAGTAAATGTATACATGTTTTACAGGACTTGGGGCTAAAACCTTATTTACAAGTAAGCCTTTTTGATTGAAAGTTGTAGATACAATTAATAATTAATTTCTAAACCCCCGTAATTATGTCAGTTACAAAATTTTATTGGCAGGCCTGAGGAATTTGAAGGATATTTATTAGTTTGTCGTTTCAAAGCTGTTTATTTGAGATGTTAATTAAGCCTATTTAACCAAAAGTAGGTTAATGAAGCTAACACAAAGTATCTGATAAGGGCACCATGAAATAGAAAGCCACAAAAAACAGGGATCTTATATGTTTGTTTGTTTGTTTAGTACAGGCAAAACTATTGAAATTAGTACTGCACAGGTTTATAGAAACATGTTGCAAATCTTCCAGTAATTCTTGTGCATTTCAGGTTTTATTTTCTCGGTCAAGTTGCCTAGATCATCATTTTAAATACAATGTGAAGAAGAAACAAAGGGATTTAAAATCTAAGCCTGTGTCTACACTGGCGCATTCTTGCGAAAATGGCCGCTCTTGTGCAAAAATATGTCCCCTGTATTCACTGGTCGCGTGTTCTTGCGAAAGTAAACTGACGTTGTACTATAGAAAATCAGGGCTTCTTGCGTGAGAACTCTGATGCTTCCTCTCAGGAAGAAGCCCTCTTGTGCAAGAGCTCTTCCAGAAGAGGCCAGTGTAGACAGGCAACATGAATTTTTTGTGCAAGAAGCCCCTATGGTTAAAATGGCCATCAGAGCTTTCTTGCGCAAGAGAGCATCTACACTGGCATGGATGCTCTTGCACAAAAGCACATCTCTTGCGCAAAAGCACATGGCAGTGTAGATGCTCTGTTCTGGAAGAGTTTTTGCACAAGAACTCTTCCGCAAAAGAGTTCTTGTGCAAGAAGCTGCCAGTGTAGACGTAGCCTATGTCTCCACTGGTCCCATGATGGGGTATCACTACCAGCAAAAAATTACCTTGGGTTGTTCACATTTCACAAGAAAAGACAGACTCAAGATGCTTTGGGTTCTGTTAAATGGCCTATATTTTTGACTCAGTACAATTATCCCTCAGCCAGCTTTCTTCTGGCTGCAGATCACCTCATTATCCATTTTCACTTCCCTGTTAAATAGCCTATATTTTTCAATGGATGAACACTGCAACCCATGTTTCCATACTAACCCTTCTAAGAATCGCTGAATATGCCTTCTAGAACTCCACCTTGGTATTCTTGGAGGAAAGCAACAATTTTTGATCTTTCTGTGGAAGGAGCAGCTTCATGCATTCCCAGTGAGGCATGTCAACAGCACCTTAAGATCAACAGTATGAGAGGCTGATGACATAATATCAGCCTAGATGTCCTCTTCAGTCATTATCAGGAAGAGATCATCAGCCAACTCAACTGCAATGCAGACTGTACCCAGTTGGTTCTCAAATTGACAAGGATTAAGGAAATGTGAGGATTTCACCACAACCTTTTCAATAATCTTAACTGTTGAGAAAAGATAAAATACAGACTGTAAATCAGATTGTCAACACTAACAGGTGATTTCTTGAATAAAATCTGTAATCAGGATTCCTTAAGAGAAAACAGCAAGCCTACTCTTTAAGGGATGCATTGATGGTCTCCATTGACACTCAGTCTAGTACCTGCACACCTTTGGCCTTTACTGGCCAAGAAGGTCCAGAGCACTTCTTGTGGCATGAAGTTTCACCAACAAATGCAGTATTCTGGAGACCATTACTGGACACAATTGTAATAGAAATTATGTAATATTTGTCGCCCTTACTCCAACAGGCATAATTTTAAATAGAATACAAAGCACAAAGGGTAACATAGGACTGCTAGAATCTGAATGATTTTCTCTACAATATAACAACAAATTTCCTCACAGACACCAGTCAGAACTCCAGTCAGACACCAAATGGAAACAGCCTTGACTAACTAAGATATTTGCCACCCAAAACAAATCTGTATGCTTACTGAGAGTCTATGGATGCTATGTTGGAGTCAAAAAACATTTGCCTCCCACACAGTCACTGTAATAATGTAAAAAATATTAGATATAATCTGTCAATTTCAGCCCATCTTCCCTTTCACATTATCTGTAAATCAAGGTGATGACTGCAGGATCGGGCACCCCAGTTTGACACCTTGCAAGTCACTTGTTCTGTTTAAAAAACATTTTTTTAACAAAAAAATACAATAAAATTTGCAAACAGGGGAAAGAAACAGCTCTACTATGCATAAGGTTGTTTTAAAGAGAATAAAATAATACGACATTTTTAACCCATTGCATTTCTGTTTAGATCACCCCAAGTGGTTTACACTATATTATCACCATTATTCACTGTTTCAAGGAAACAAAACAAAATTCAACTCTAAAAAATAGTATTTTCAGAAAATACCTCTATAAATGATGTGGAATACTGACGTATTTGTACACAGTTATGCCTGTCATGAGTGTGGGACTGCTTAATCAGAGATGGTTCTGAAGGAGTTCCTGGAAGAGTGGGTGTATGTAAAGCATGGCATCAAGTGGATACATTTCTGGAGAAATATTGTTCCATCACTGTTCATAAAAACAATTCTGATACAGGTTCCTTTTGTTTCTTTTGCAGAGTTTGAGGTGTA